TTGCTGCTAACATCGACCATGAATATCAAAGAAACAAGAATACATTTATTTACCTCCACGTGGTGCACCCTGGGCAACGTATATTCATACGGCGAAAAAGTCTATTAACTGGCAGTTGACTTCTCACTTCAAACTATCATCACCTCACTCTATGCTATATTCGACTATTTCCACAGTAATCACCTCACCTTTTTTCTACCTTTGTCTCTTATACCTTTGAAACACTCTTCTGTTCCACCCCTCTCGACTTTTTCAATTTGATCTTCCTTCCCCTCTGTGAAGCCTGAAGTCAACTAAAGGGCTAATGATAACCATCAAGACGCCTGCTATTTGATATATATAAATACATTTATTCATGCAAAGAAATACTTCTTAAATTTTTGCCGAATCCTCAAATTTTGACTCATTAGGAGTTTCCTTCTCAATTCTAAACAAACTTTATAATGAAGACATATCAAGATACTGATTAAGTGATACTATTTTGGATGGAGCTCTTCAGAAAACAATGTTCATTAATTGATTATAATTGGTGGCTATAACTAAACATTTATTTAATTTAGAAAATGGAATCAGCTTGAAGTCTTATAAGATATGGACGATCTTCAGATTGCTTTGAAGACTAAGTTTAGATATTATTCTCATTTAAGCGAATGGCAAAACTTTTCCGCTGGATCTCTAGGAAAAAATCATTCATCCCAAAATTAAACCAACTTGTTCATGTAATGCAATATTTAAGAGGGCTTCAAAAAACGAAGACGATAATACTAGTGGGGATCGGTGTTAAATCAAGAAAATTTAAATAGCTTGATCTTTATAAACAGTGAAATTTAAAATATCGTCTTTTAGACTGACATCAATCTCTTTCATATTTAACTTGGTCTATATAAAAGTAAATAATGTGAAAGTAAACAAACTATTGTAGTTTATTCTACAAAGATTTAAAAGTCGGAAAATTTACCCCTAGATTGGACATAAATATAGCCTCTCATTTTCTAATTTCATTTATATTCGGCGAGCCAAAATATTATAAATACAATCAATAATTAATTCAAAATGGCTGAATAACTCATTATTTTTAAAAAAATTATCGAAATTCTATGTACCATTCCTTATTACTTGGATCAAAGAAAACGTGAGTCAGCTCTATTAATTTGGAAATTAGAGATTTATTTTTTTGTTTTCAGTGCAAAGCATTATTGAAAATGCAATAGAATATGCACCATATTGAACTAACGAATCTAAATTTATTGAATGCGAGGTCAATATTAAATGGAATATTTTGTTATATCTGAGTCAAAATTTCTTAAAATTACAAAACTATTCTCTTTCACATCCTAATATCAATAATTTTATATGCTATTTCAATGTGTAAGGATTCAACAAAGCTAATTAAAAATATTTTGCATAAGTTTTACATTAATAAAACAGTAAGGTGCTTCAATCAATAAATTGGTCACTTGAATTAAAAATTGCTCCGAAATTACAGTAATTTCAAATATAAAAATAGAAACTGATGGAAGTAAAAGTGTTTATTTCTCCTTTAGAAACTTAGACTCGATGGTTTTGATAAATCAATGCCTAGTGTGACCTTAGGAAATCCTTTTGCGGCCACTTAATAAACATAAGTAGTTTCCACGTATATAATATATGGAACCAAAGTAAGACTTCTTTATAATAAATTATCCTTTAGTTACCCAAAATCGCTTACAAGGTTTGTTAACAAATATCAATAATAAAAGTAGCACTGAAATTATGAACATATCGCCAAATAGACTTTCGAATGGTTCTCAGAGGGTCAATTTTAACCGTGTAAAATAAATGATTACCAAATAAGTTTTAGGCTAAAGAACTGTGTACTCCGTTTTGGCCCGACTTAGAAACCTGCCGAAAAATTATGGTTATAATGCATCATGAAATGAATAGATGTCTTGATGTTCCAGATCACCCATCTAATGACTTTAAGATGTTAAATACTTATGTTACACAGCTACCTCAAGGAAACGGTTATAACTTTTTATTTCTAATTTTTTAATATAGAAACGGGACAGTATTTAGCCTTAGATCTCGGAGGAACAAATTATCGTGTACTTTTAATTACTTTTGATCCTGATAGTTCTGAGCCTACAATCGAATATGATACAGAAAGAATTCCCCCCGAATTGATGACTGGGAAGGGTGACGATGTAGGCTTCCCTAATTTTTAATTTTTAGCTTTTTAAATTTATTGCCAAATCGGTGAATAGATTTTTAACAGAAAGGGGACTTTTAGACGTTCCTTTAGATATGGGCTTTACTTTTTCCTTCCCAGTTAACCAAACCTCTATCAACAGAGGGACTCTTATAAGATGGACAAAAGGCTTTTCAGTAAACGGTGTGGTAGGAAAAGATGTTGTTGAACTTTTAAACAAAGCAATGTCCTCTATGGGTCTGAAAGTTACATGTCGAGTCATTACCAACGACACCGTAGGTGCACTTGCTTCTTGTAAACTTAGTTATCCGGATACAGTAGCTGGTGTTATTGTTGGTAAGTTTGTATAATTAAAATTATTAAAAGGTACTGGAACGAACGCAGCATATGTGGCCGAGTTACCTGCTGGACCAAATTTTAAAATACTACCACCCACAGCTACATCTGTTGTTATAAATACAGAATGGGGAGCTTTTGGGGACCATGGGCTTCTTGATGAATTCAAAACAGAATTCGATAAGATCGTCGATGAGAGATCACAAAATCCCGGCAAACAGACGTATGAACTATAAAAAATTTCTTCATCGTGTATTTCATTAGATACGAAAAAATGATAAGTGGAATGTATCTCGGAGAGATAACGAGACATGTATTGAGAAAACTCGTGAATGAAAAAATTTTGTTTCAAGGTAATATGCCCAAAAAATGGAATGAAATGAACAGTATTCCAACTTCGCTTCTAAGTGATATTGCTCGGTTAGTAGATTTACTAAGTTCCTTATAATATGAATTAGCGTAACGAGCCCTTTTGGGTATTTTTAGTGATCCGGATTATCTCTTTTACAATACTGAACGCATTATTAGGGAATATTTCAATGTTACTGAATACACCGAAGAAGACCTACAAATCGTCCACCATGTTGGTGTTGCCGTTGCAAATCGGGCAGCGCTTTATGCTGGAACAGGTTAGAATGTTAATTTTAGTTTATCAAATTGTTAAATTTTATTAAATTAGTTCATGATATCAATAGAAAAATAAAAGGCTCACCTAAGACCGAAATAGCGGGAATGATATGGTTAATATTTTGTTTACTTATTAAGTCTCTATCATTAGAAGTGAGACTTCAGTAAAAGGAATTTTTAATTTTAGTTTGTATAGCTGTTATTGATAAATCTATATTTAGGCATCTATTGTAATGAAATCTGAGTTATTTAAAATTTAAATTCCATCACAATCGGAAGAAATAGACCTTATGGGAAAAACACCAATTGAAAAACATATTGGTTAGAACTCATAAGGCGATATTCTCATGCATAATATATTTCATGAACCATGAAAATATTTCAGATATTCACAGAAGGCAGACTTTCATAAAACTGGCGGAAATATTCAGTGTTCAAATAAGTGAAGTTCAATGGTGTAACCAAGTCCCTAGATTATATTAGTTATTACCTATTCCACCATTAAAGCACAAATCTTGTGAAATAAATTTTATAAACTTTTATCAGAAATCTTTTTTGTTGCTTTTTAAATTACTTTCTAAGTGTTAAACAACTGTCCGCATGGGGTAGACAAACTTTGTCCTCGTGTGTAATGATAGCGAATAAAACATTGAAACTGATTTGAATATTATAATTTTAATGTTAGCCTATATATGTAATATTTAATTCGACAGAAGAATAAAATATTTTGAATTTAATTATATTATTTCGATATCATCTTTTATAATTAAAAATAATAAATACTAGGAAACATTGTGTAATAAACTCTTTATTCCTAACAGTGCGTACAGATTGAATGCCGAACACAGTGAACTATTAATTTTAGACGATATATGTTAGTTTTATAGAAAGAATGAAATCGTAATACTCATTCACTGTTTCTGCATATGTACCGAGATTATATTTTTGAGTTAAATCAAATAATTAGACCTATGAAATAGCATAAAGAGCATAAAGAAAAAAGGTAATCTCTGTGACAGTTGATTAATCAGATGTGAGGTAAGTAAATATGCATAAAGATCTAATCATACCTAGAAATTGTCAGTTCTAATCAGCATTTATCCACATAGAGTGTAAAATACATTTACATAATAGGGAAAGGCATATTAACTAAACACGAATATTTTTATATTACAACACAGGTGTCGCATGTTTAGTCAATCGAATAAAACGTAGGGAGGTGACAGTAGGCGTTGATGGCTCCCTGTTTAAACTTCACCCTAACTTCCCGGCTAATATGCTGAATATTATCCGCAGACTTGCAAATCCACTTTTTCATGTAGGATCCCTTGCATATTTTTTATATAATTATGAATTATCTCCAAAATTATCATATGTCCTTTTTAGTGCAAACTACAAATGTCTGAAGACGGAAGTGGTAAGGGTGCTGGTGCCTTGGTAGCATCATTGATGCAACGTACTAGAGGTCGTTAAAAGATTGAAGGGATTTAGACTCGGATTATAAGTTTATTTTTGACTTAAAACTAAACTAGCAGACAAGGCTGCGGATATTCCTTCCAGACTGAATCATTTAAACACACATTGAAATAAATTTTCTTTCATTTTAATAAAGCATTTTCATTCGGCTCCAAATTAAGTCCCGAAAAGTTGTGCAATCGAAGTACTAATGGAGAGATAACTTAAGACAAAAATTCTAATCTTTGAATTTCGCCTCTAAATTAATAAAAGAATTAACTTGAAGTTGACTGGATTTTTATGAACGATAAATGTAATATTTAGTACTGAGTGTATTACATGCCATTATATTTTAGTGAAATGTGAGCTGGGATTTAAATCACCAGCAATCCTGTACTATCTTTGTTCTTCGTGCGATGAGATATCCAGCCAGACCGTTACGAATTTTGAGTGAATTTAATTATTTAGGCTCAGTAATAGTCTTACTATGAATTGTAACGATTTAAAGTAATCGAGTCAATCCTCAAGGCGTCACAATAACCTCGATTCCAGGAAATAGGTAGATTTATTTTAAATTTCATCTCCTTCAACATCAGCACCGACGAATCAATTGAAGTTTAGATAATCTTAAAATTTTACTTTAAAATGGATTAATCAACTCCTCAATCATAACTATCTTTCAACCAATTATATGTTCTGGATTCGTCGAAATGTTTGTCCCAGCCAACTCAAGATGATTGTGTGCATTGTTGAATAGGAAAACATTAACAATAAACAGTTAAACTCTGAAGAAAATGGAATATTTCAAAAAAATTAATATTCTCTTTAACTCCATATGAGGAACGTGCAACTGTTTAAATGCTTGAATAAGTCTTTAGCGACATTAATTAATTTAAATATCCCTAGGCAATGTCTGTAACGAAATAAGGAATTAAGTTATGGACACCAATATGATAATGATAAGCTTGAGCTCCATCAAGCTCGAAAAACATCGGGGCGCAGGAAAACAAGTTCAAACTTTTTTATTTATAACAAAGTTACTGATTTGCCATATGCCTTTCCGATTAAATCACACCATGCTTTAAGAGGACTAAACGTTTCGTTTACGTAGTAAGTATAAAAAAAACTAAGGTTACTAAAATCGAGTAAGCACCTTATAATTAAGTTTCATTGAACAAATTTTAGCATGATCAATCTGTAAATGATTATAGTATTAACGTCGACTAGATCTAAAAGGTATCAACGTGGGTTTCAAGTATAAATAATACAAAAAACAACTTACAAAAATGTAACTATTCTTCAGCAAATTAAATTCAGTTATCTAAAATAAATACAACTATATATTGAAGAGCAAAGTTGAAAATTGAGTATGGTGAAAAGACTCACTAGTGAAGTTAAAAATTGTTGATAATAATAACTCGTTCCGATAACCTGCGCACTACTAAATATTTCTGAAATAATTATCGATATATGAGGTGAACTGAAGATGGGCGACCTTTCTAAACAGCAAATTGGTACAAAAGTTTGAAATCTTGTAGTATAGTTTAGAAAATGAAAGTCCCTTTTTAAATAGAAAGAACAGTAAAAAACTTGTAGCACATATTAAACATTTTGAAAGCTGCACGGCTTTTTATCATTTGCATTTACCTTTAAGCTCTATATTCTTAATTTTTTAAATATATAAGCAAAATCAATAACATTTCCCAAACAACAAAAAATATAAATTTTACATAAAAAGTGCAAATAAAATTTTCGCAAGCTAATATTTATGAGTTTGAAATACTTAATTTTCACAAAAGTAGCGTAACATTTATTTTCTTTCGTCACTTCAAAAAGTAAACATTTCTGCCGCGTAACCTCGGCGCACAATTTGTAGCTCTTGTGGTTTGCTTGTAATACCGTTCGCTGCAGAAGCTTTGTCCTATATCTTGTCTTTAAATGGTAAGAAAATTAGTTTGCTCAATTTTTTTTCTTTAGAATGATTCAAAGGGTGGTGCTTCTAGGAAAGCAGGTTCTGCTAATCCTAGGCGCCGTACTCGAAGATCATTAGCGCCTCAAGTTGATCCAAACAATCAAGACAGAGGAAGAATTGACTCCCTGACAAGTCATTGTGTCAGGGGGAACTCCTTATCTCTTTTACACTCCAGAAATCTGTCCTCTGAAGGTAATACACGAAGACATTTGTCTTCCAATGGAACCCATCGCCACTTTGAGCAAACTGCAAATATCCATGAAAGTTCCGACCTTGGAAACTTAGTGGGGTTTCCGTCTTCTCTCCAGTCCGGAGGCGGTCAAAGCTGTCAGAGGAGAAATCAAGCCCCCTCTGATTTCGAAGTAAGCGAAAAGGTAAGCGTAAATTATTCGTTTGTTCTTTACACATTGTCTTAAATAAATTAATAATAGTTTTACATAATCATGACCTCGTTAATAATAATTACGTTTGACGTTAGTTTGACTGGTAGTAATAGCGCCAAATTTTACTCTTGTAGGCGAATAATCTCTTTGATCAAATCCGAGAAATTAAAAAGCGAATTTCAGAAGCTACGGCAGAGTTGACTCCAACTTTCTACCCAATGGCCACGAGTGATGTACTGACTGCTGTGAGTCTGGGCCAGTACGAAGCAGCACAGCATCTAAGCTCCCAACCCCATCTTTCTGCCGAGGATCCTTCTCACAACACCTGTTCCTGCTGCAACAGAGTTCTTTGCTACTTAGCCCATCTCATTTCAACGAACCCTTCTTTTGAACATCCACGTTGGAGTGAGTTAAAAAATGTTCTTAAAGACGTTAATCCTGTTGAGTATATTCCCAATTCCCCTGATGTAAAGAGAGCTCTAACTGAACTGGTATCCGTTTCTGCCAATTTAACCGTTTCAACAGTCCCCATTGCTGAAATCCAGGAGATGGAAAAGCGTTTGGAAGCTGCTGACGCTGAGGTGGCTCACACAAATGAACAAATTCAAACTCTTCAGAAACTTCTTAATGATTTTCATAGTGAATCCTCTTGGCGGCAACGTTCAATTTCGGAAAATCTGAGTGCTTCTAGTATGAAAACATCATCTATTGTTCGTTGGCTAGATCTGGCGACATCGGACTCTATTTTCGATTCTGAATCCGAAGTTAAACGTCAAACTGATAATTCTTCTCGACACGGTAGTGATCCGGATCAATTAGATCTCAGATCAAAGATTTCTTCTCTGATTGCTGACAAGGAAAGAGAATTAGCCGATTTGCGTCGTGGAGCTGTGATGTGGGCCTCTAAGCATACTCTCATTACGAATAAACAAGCGGAGATTGAGGAACTCAGAGCTGTTCTTACTAATGAACTGGCTCTATCTCCTGACGCTTCGGAAGAGGACACGATAACTGAGTCTGTCAAACTTAAGCAAAGTAATGTAAAGAATCTGATTGATCAAATTGAGTCACTACGTGATGATATTGCGGTTTTCACTCAGTCCATGGAGCCATCAGTAGTTCAACAAGTTATTCCGAATCTAGAATCTCTTTCAAATACCCTATCCGATGCTTTCGTTCACTTACGACCTTTGGAAGAAAAGAAGCCAGTTGCTGGAATTGCTACCCAAGTCGACTACCTTCATGATCAACAAAGTGAGGGCTGTTTGACTACATCCGATATTAATGAACTTCAGAAAGTAGTCGATGAAATAATTTCATCTTTCTTGCCTCCTACCGCATCTCCGTGCCATTTACTTCTGAAAGAAGTATTTGATTCCCTAAATAATACTCTTTCGGATAAAAGTGCCCAAGTTGAAGAGTTGAAAACATCCGTAAAGGCATTAGAACGTGAGACCGAGGTCAATAAAGAAGCCATCCAAGTACTCTGCGAATCAAGACTCAACATGCTTGAACAAATAGCAGAGTTTACTGGAGGTGAGGAATGTAGGGACGATTTCGCAGATTTCGTTTCAAAATTGCGGGTGAATGGAAGCCCTGATGAGCATCTTAAGAGTTTAACCAAGCTCAGTGATATTCTTGGTGAACGCTTAAGAGATTGGGCCAACCGAAGACAAGAAGCTAATGAGGCTCTCTTGAAGCAGAAGGACGAAGAGATTGCAAGTCTGTTGGCAAGATTAGAAGAGGACCAAGCTCTGATTAAGAGTCATTCAGAGGAGTCTAAGCTATTACACGAGCAAATGGAGCAACTCAAGAAGTCCATGCCCTCAACGCCAAAGAAATTCATAACTAAATTCGGAAAGCTTGGAAAGGCTCAACAGGAGCAGGAGATTGTGACCGAAACAGCTCCCCTTCTCCAATCTTTCGAGGATTCAATTCAACTCACTTCAACAGTTCCACTAAATCGAGCACCTTCGATTGAATCTGATGATTTCGAGCCATTTACAGGAGCTGTCGGCAGCACAGAGGTGGCAGAATCCACTTGTGACCTTCAATCCAAACTTATTGAACAGGCGGCCGTGATCAACCAACTTGAGGCACGGCTTTGTGCTCAAAACGAAGAATTCCAGTCGAAATTAGCTGGAGCTAATGAGAAAATTAGCCAGTTCAACGCCATTCAGAACTCTTACGAAACTGACCTTCAGCGCCTAAAGAGTGTTCTTATACAAAAGACTGGTGACATGTCCGAGCTTAGTGCCAAATTGAATTCATCCAATCAGAGTATTGCTACTTTGAATAGCCTAATTACGGAACTCAGAACTGAAGTATCAACAGTTCAGGGAGTATCTACCATGCAAAGTCTTGAAATTGAACGTGCTCAAGGCTTGATGCATGACAAGAACCAAGAAGTGAATGACTTACGAGAGGTAATTACAAGTCATGAAGCCCAGATTCAAAACCTTCGTTTCGTGCTAAATAACAAAGATGCCGATTTAAAGCAAAAGAATAAACAAATCGAGGTGCTTTCAGCCAAACTCTCAAATAGCGTCCATGAAGCAGAAACGCTGAAGCACGACTTTGACCATCTGAATGGGATATTTGAGCGATTGTGGCAGAGTACCCTTTTAGTGGATGATAGTTCGGAGTGTTGCGATCCATTGTCTCCTATAAGACATGAACCTATGCATGTGCTAAAAACTTCTTCAGCAGTTGATCGTTTTCTTAGTCTTCTTCTAGCTAAAGAACCAGGAACGGAGATGGGTGATTTGCAAGCTTGTATTAGAGTTTATAAGTCCTTCAAGGATGCCGAACTTACCCATAATGGTGACACAGAGGGACACCATTCTGTCTCTATTGTGCGTAATGACCCAGATCTCCCGTGGAATTCCTGTTGTGTAACGGCAGTTACTGCCATTTCGACTCTCCTTGAGGATGGTAAAATCTTTAATCTTCTCAGAGATCTAGCCTATTCTGAGTCCTGTCGTGTACGTCTAGCTAATCTCTTATCAAACGCGGAAGCTCAGGTCAGTGATTTGTCGGGTATGCTTGCATCTCTGAAACTGGAGGTTGAGCAGAACCATATCCAATTAGCAGAAAGGACTCGACAACTCATCCTTCTTGGAATTGATCCAGACGATCCCTCTCTTGGGAAAGTTGAATCTGAAACACCTAGTCCTGCTATCATTCCTGAAAAAGCAACTGAAGTCAAAGAGACTCCGGCAAATGATTCTACTTTGAAACGAGGTGCTGAGGATTTACAAACTCAAGTCCAGTATATTCAACAGAATATTATCGCCTTGGAGAAACGATGTGAAGACGGTGAAACCGCGACTACTGAGGCAACTCAAAAGCTTGCGGAGGTTGAAAAACAGGTTGCATTTAAGACTAGTGAAGACTTCTCTTTACCTGCTCAAAATATTCGAGTTCTTGCTAATTTGTTGTCCACAGAACCTAATGCTGAATTGATTGTCGAGAAGGTTGAATCCTTGCAGGAGGAGCTTTTAGTCAATTTGGCTGAGAGAGGTAGACTTCAACAACAGCTGCACAAAGTTCGTGATCAGTTGGAGAAATTGAATAAGGGTCTGAGCAACCAGAATACCGTTAAATTGTCTGAAATTGAAGGACATCTTACATCTGTTCTGATTGAGAAATCATCGCTTGAAAAGCAATTGAATGAACAACGAGATGAAATTAACAGAAGAACTGCTTATCTTGATAACCTCGAAGCAGAAAGATCCCAACTTTTAAGTCAGTTGAGCAAGAGTGAAGCTGAATTGAAATCAAAGGAAAATGCTATTGAGTCGCTAAATCGGAGAATACTTCTCCTCGAATCAGACAATGATCGGAAATCTTCCAAATGCGTTTCCCTTCAAGCCAATACAGAGGATTCGACCAAACGGTTAAATTCCATTAAACCCTCCGCTGCTTCTCTTGATCCACTAGTTGAACCTACTTTGACTGAGCCAGTTAAAGCAGAGCCATTCCTCACATCTATGCCAGAGAAGGAATCTCCTAACGTCACCGAAGTATATCATGAGTTTTCTCCTGAAAGTAGCGCTAATGTAGATAACCTCGTGGATAGATTGTCAGTATTGGTAGATCAACTATCGACCATTCGAAGTGGCGAGCCTAGATCATTGTTTAATTTACTGGAGCAGATAGAGTCTGGTGTTTCTAGCCTTTTGAAAGACAATGTTGATCTGAAAAAGGTAGTTGCCGTTGCAGAAGCTGAACAAAATGAATCCCAGAAGGAGCTTGAAATAAAAAATGAGCGCATTTCTGACCTTGAAGCCCAGGTGGCCGGAATTGAACAGGATAAGGCAACACTAGAAGACAAGCTTCGTGAGTCTCGAACTGAAGCCTCAGAGTCTGAGGAACTTCACAAGCAACTAGAGACACTAACTGCGGCCTTATCAGCTAAATCTGCGGGCAGTTCTGCTTCTTGTGATCGAGTGAACCAAAACTCCGAAGAATTAAAGGAAACGACAACCGTTTTAACCAATTTGACACAACCTACTGTAGAAGTAGTCCGAACTGAACCCTTACTTTCAGCCTCTGATTTTGTCGGTGTAAATGACGACAGAGATCTAATATTATCACGTCTAGCTGATTTGGTAGGCCAACTCTCTCCTGGTTCCGTTGCAAAACCCATGTCATGGTCAGATTTAATTGATAAGATAGAACACGATATCTCAAATCTGTTAAGAAATATTGCGGATCTGAAACAAAGACTTTCTGCTCTCGAATCCGAGAAGGAAAACTTCAAGATGACCCATGATCAGATATCAGAAGCTCGAATTGAAGAAGCGTTGGTAGCTCAACGAAGAGCGGAAGGGGAGACAAAGAAGAAGGACGAAGAATTGAAGGCGTTAGAGGAGAGACTTCAGCAATCATTTACTGAATCATCTACCAGTGCTGATGAGATTGAGGAATTACGTCAGCGAATCCTACTCCTTGAAGATGAAATCTCAGCTAAGTCCAATAAAATCGACTTCCTTAATCAGAAGATAAAAGAGGCGACTGAATCAACTGTCATTGATCCCGTAAAAATTGAGCTTATGCATGACTCAACTCCAAAGTATCATGATAAACTTACACAAATAACTGAATTTGATCAAACAACACTTCAGCGAAAAACTGCTGCTTTGAAGGAGACAATAATTCCCAATATAGCAGAAAACAGTTCCTTGATTGATGAAGTGAAATCCTCGACTCAGCAACCGAGTGATTATAAGCTAAATGAATGTGTTTCAGAGCCCACATTGATTGAATCGGTAAGCACGGCACCTTTGTTGACCGCGAAACCTCTTATAAAATGTCAGTTGAAACCTAGAGTTATGGATGCATGCCACGAATATACTGACAATAACATTTCTCTGAATGGTGTTAATGAAGATCTCATTGCTCGACTCTGCTCCCTAACTGAACTAATTTCAAATACATCAGATCTTCAAATCGAAGAACAAAAATCCTGGTTAGATCTAATGGACAAAGTGGAATCTGGAGTTTCCAGTCTGCTGAAGGCTCAAGTTTCTTTGAAACGACAGTTGGGATTTATTGAAACGAGGTCAAGTGAGCTGAAACAGCAATTGGAGTTGAATGAAGCTAAACTCCAAGTATCGGAAGACGAACTCCTAAAGAGAGATGCAAGTCTTCAAGGTCTGGAAGGCAGTATGGAGGAAATTTTATCACGACTTCATTCACAGGTAAACAGCTTGATGGAGATTGTTAATTCAAGTGAAGGTCGTGTCAATGAGTTATCTTCAATAGTGAGAAATTTGAGAATAAATGAAAGTGAGCTAAAAGCACAGCTTGATTCCAAATCTCACCGAGAAAGTCATTTACAGTCGGAATTGAGCAAACTAACAGCTGAAAATGCTGATCTATTACTGAAATGTGATCAAATGAAGGAGATTCTGAGCGAACGAACTACTAAGTTAGCTCAAATTGAAGATTCTTCAAAGGCCAACGAGGATGAAGACCGAGTTTCTCGGCTTATGGTTGCTGAACAAACTTGTGAGAAGCTAGAAAGCGAGATAATATTGAAAGATCAGGAAGTCAAGAGTCTGGAAGATGCTTTAAAATTGAAGGGAAACACCTTAACTATGCTCGAAGATGGTTTTAAGGCAAAGGTTGAGGAACTAAACAATTTGACGGCGAAAGTGAATGAGATGGTGATTTTGGCAGAAGAGTTGAATGCATTGAAGCAGAAATTGCAAGTCATTGACGAGGAAAAGGCAGTGAAGACAAGAGAATGCATTGTATTGGCAGAAGAGGTAGCTGCTCTGAATCACAAGTTAAGTACGGCGGCGGCGAGAGAGGCAGTTCTAATGTCATTGTCACCGGTGATTGAGCAAACTACAGATCTCCAGCAAAAAATTCTTGAACTGAGCCAAGAAAACGAAGTCAAGGCTACTCGAATCGTGAAGTTAGAATCTGAGGTGACCTCTCTGAAATCTAAATTAGAAAATCTTCAGGGTGAGCATGACATCAAAGCGGTCGATTATGGACATCTCTCCGTCAAAGCTGTAGACTTGACCCAACAACTTGATGCTATGCAATCTGATTCTATGACTCCATTAATTGTAGAACAACCTTTAGCCTCAGCTCCACTAGAAGTTGCTGCTAAAAGAGATAATTCTGAATTACAGAAATTAAATGAAGAACAAATGAAACACATCGCTCAGATTGAAAATGCAAAGTGTCATCTAGAAGACACTCTGGTTGCTAAAGAGATTGAAGTCGAATCTCTGAAGGAACAGATCTTGCATTTGACTCACGTTGGTAGTGTTGGCTTGAATGCTGAAATTGAAGTATTGGAGGCTAATACTATTATTTCTGCTGAATTAAAAGAAGTGAAAAATAAGCTGACAGATTTAGAAGCCGACAATAGTCATAAAGCTGATGAAATTCTGCACCTCAAGCAGGAGCTAACTGGTCGCGATTCTAGTTTACTGAACTTGGAAGCCTTGATAATAGACCTTAATCAACGGATCCACTCTCACATGGCAACTCTCGACTCCATTCTTAATGCTACTGAAAGTCGACAGTCAGATTTATTGTCGGCTCTCAAAGACCTTGAAGCTAAATTTGCTGATAAGGTTAGTAAAGAGTGTCGGCTTTTGTCTGAATTTGAGCTTGAGCGCTCTGAATTTTCCAAAGCTCTTGAAGAAAAAGCAGAGATCCAGAAAAGTCTCGAGAGTTCTGTGAAAGAACTTCAAGAGCGACTCGAACAATCTTCACAGGAATCAAACGGCAAGACTTCTGAGCTTTCAGAGCTGCTTCAGAAGATCGAAGGTCTAGAAGAAATGATTACCAAGAAGGACGAGGACTTAGAAGCCACTGACGGTTTCCTAGAAGGTCAAATCGCTCGTATTGCAGAATTAGAGGATGCTAATGCAAAACTTAATGAATCTCTTCTTCTAAAGGAAAGAGAACTCGAGTTAGTGCAGCAAAAGGTACAGGGGATTGAAGGAGAGGATAAGGTGGATAACCTTAAATGGAAAATCCAGGAGCTCACCGAGACTTTGAAGGCGAAAGAGTCAGAAATTGACACTTTGACGAATCAGTCTAATGCTGTTCAGGTGGATGAACCTACTTTAATCCAAAATGTCGATACTTCTCATTTGCTGACTTCTGCACCGCCTTTATTATTGAAAGAAAATGTGAATGAAAGTGTTCTAACTGCTAGTTTATTAAACCTGATTGAAAAACTCTCAGACTCAACTGACTGCGACACTCAATTGGGCCATTCTTGGATAGATATGATGGGTCAGGTTGAAGAGGGAATCAATCACCTCTTGAAAGACCAAGCACATTTAACAGCCGTACTGGAAAGTGTGGAGTCGGAGAAAAAAGTCCTGACAGAGATGCTTGAAGCTGAAAAGACGCATTTTCAAGCGCTTAATCAACAATTCCTAGAACAGCAAGCAACACTTGCTCAATTGAATGAGAAATTACATCAAGTTCAAGCTCTAAAGACACCTACTTCTGAGGTAGAAACTTTTGAATCACTGAATAATGAATTGGATTCCCTTAGGCAAGAGAATGAGCAGCAGGGTCGAACCCTATCGGATCTAATTTCGGAACTAGAAACATACAAAACTAGGGAATCTGTTCTTCTATCAATGGTTTCGACTGACACATCTCAACCTAGTGAACCAACTAACGTGCGAACTGAGGAACTTGAAAGAGCCCTAGAGTTAAAGCAATCTGAGTTAGATTCTTTGCAAATTCAATTTGCTGAAACCAAGCAAGTGCTTGAGGAGATTTTAACATCCAAGGAAAATTACCAAAGTGCTATTATTCAGTTGGAGAATGACCTCAAAGCTAAGGAAATCGATTTGAATCAACTGACTGCTGCTTCGAACTCACAAGCTTTGGAGGTTGATTCATTGCATGCTCGATTACGTGAATTGGAGGAAGCAAATGGACGGAAATCTGCTGAAATTGAAAAGCTCGTTCAGCAATTGGACCGAACTAAGGTTCAAGTATCTGCATTACCAGTCATTGATCCAATTTTCGTTCAACCTGTTGCCGTTGAACACGGTTTAACCTCTGCACCTTCTGACCATACGAGTTCTGTAGATGCTAACTTGTTGGTTGATCGTATTTCATGCCTGCTTCAACAGATGTCTGATCCGGTTGATTCACAATCAAAAGTTCGAAGAACATGGACAGATTTAATGGATCAAGCTGACTCTGGTGTTTCAAGGTTGACGCAAAGTTTGGATGATTTGAAGACGAAAATCATTACCCTTGAATCTGATCTAGCCAAGAGAGATGCTCTGGTCGAAAACCTTTACAGAGAGCTTTCCGTACGTAATGATAGCTTACATGCCCTAGAAGCTAGTATAATTGAGCTTTCTACTCGATTAAATCACAATTTGAATAATTTGAAGGATGCCATTAACACTGGTAAATGCAGGGTCCCTGAGCTTTTGGCTCTGATCGATGATCTAGGCACAAAGAAGGATCAGTTAGAAGATCTACTTGCAAAACTTGAAAATGATAAGAAAGAACTTAAAGAAAAGTTAAGGACTACGGAGATTCAGGCACCAATTGAACCGTCCTCTGTTCAGTCCTCTGCTCTCGAAGAACAGTTGCAGTCCTTGCAAGCTGTGGTTGTGGAAAAGGATGAGAATCTAAGATCAATGGAGTCTAAAATGCAGCGGGCAATATTGGAGTATTCGAAAGAATCTGAATCTGTCTTAGCCGAAGTTGAAGAATTGCATCGACAGTTACAGGTTCTTCAGGAAATGAAAGATCAAAAATCAGCTGAGTGCAGTGCTCTTCAAGATCAAGTTGATAATCTCATTAAAGAGCTTGAGGTTGCTAAGGCCAGACAAGCAGTCTTAATCTCAATATCTGAATCGCTTCCAGAAACAGAGCATTTTTCGGCAATGAAAGATCACAATGGAGTACCTGAACTTCAGCAAACGAATAATGAACAGGCTTCATTTATCTCAAACCTAGAAGATGCTCTTAAGGCCAAAACTGATGAGGAGTCAGGTTTACGGCAGAAATTGCAGATTCTTGAAGAGAGGCTAGTTCAGAAAGAGAACCAATGTAGGTGCCTCATCACTGAAGTAACCGACTTGATTCAACAACTTACCTGTGCACAGGCTGGAACACCACCCATAGAAACTATAAAACAAGATCTTATTACGCCCGTTTCTGCAAAAGTACAATCAGATGAAATCCAGAACTCCAATGATTTTGAAATCAACTCTCTGAAAGATCATTTGTCTCATTTGAGTGATCTTGTGAAAACCCACTTGCAGTCGAATGCAAAATTCGCGCCTTTAAAAGATACTACTGCTGTTCCTGCTGAACTAGAAGGGATGGGAATGTGTCTACAGGGTAAAGACGAAGACATTCAACTCCTAACCAATGAAATCGGTGAACTTCAGAAAGAGCTCGTTGAAAGGGATGTTACTCTACAGAATCTTGAAGCCAGCATGGTACAGCTTCACTCAAAACTCACTTCAAATTTGAGTGAATTGGAAAGCACGTTGAATTCAAAGGAAATTGAACTTTCTTTGAAAGTTGATAATGAAAATCAGTTGGTACAGGAGTTATCTAAAGCCTTGGAAGCAAAGGAAGAAGCTCTAAAGAGTCTGCAGGAGGAAAAGGAGCTACTGGAGGCCAAACTCCAGCAGTCTTTCGATTCATGTACTCTAGGAACGTTGCAGGAAAGAATTCACAGCCTTGAGGATGAAAACACTCGTAAAGCTGTAGAATACAAGAGTCTGCTGAATGAAGTGGACGATTTGACAGTAGAGTTGAATGCCGTGAAAGCTAGAGAAGCAGTACTACTCTCCACAGTTGACTTAGGCGTTCGAGATTCAATAAAGGAGGAATCCGACCTTTTCGCAAGGACTCCATCGACTTCCGAAGTCAACGATATCCCGATTGATGAACTACTACAAGAGGTACATGCGGTGAGATTCGAAAATGAAGAGCTGCTCTCTAGAATAACAGAGATTGAGTCTCTCCTTAGACTTAAGGAAGAGGAATTGGTAAAGGCCACTGAAAATGCAGATTCCTCAACTAAAGTAATTGAAGAGCTTCATCAAAATGTCAAGGCTCTAAAGCTAGAAAATGAGCTCAAAACTGCTGAGCTGAAGGATGTTTCTAAAGAACTCCAATCTGCTAGAGTAACAGAATCATTGACTCTTGATAAAGAAGCTGAAGAATCTGAATTGATATCTAAAGTCATGAAGCTGGAAGGAACAATGCAATCGAATGAGGCTAAATTGAAATCGTTGGAAGAAGAGATCTCGAAATTGTCTCAGTCTGCTATCACACCTACATTTGTAGTCGAAGAACTTAGACAGAAATTAGGGGATCTTGAAGAATCACATCCATCTAAGGCAAGGGAGATTGAGTTGCGGCCATTGACACCTATTATTGAACCGACTGTCGTTGAACCCGTCAAATCGGAGATCCTTACATCTGTACCGCCCTTGAGGGAGGCGGCAATTGGGCAAAACTTAGCTGCTGAAATCGAATCTAGTCTTCTTTTGAAGCATGATGAGGAAGGCATGAACTCATTGCCTGATTCTAAATCGGAGCTTCAAGATCTCCGAGGTAAATTGGACGCACTTCAGCATGAAATGCAGCAGAAGGTAGCTGACTTTAACTCTTTGGCTCAAGAACTAGAAGCCACAAGGAAATCAAATGAGTTTGGTTTATCCTCTACTGATATTGACGAATTGAGGAAGGCTGATCAAGAAAAGACTGCCTTAATCACCAATTTGGAATCCGATTTAAAGAGTAAAGAGATGGCCCTTCAAACTCTTGAAGATAGGCTGAACCAGTTAATGCTTGAAAGGGATGACCTTCACGGGCAATTGCGACTGAGCGTTGAACAGCAATCAAGTAATGCTGTCGAAGTTGAAAAACTCAAAGCCGATGTGAAAGAAGCACGTGATGATCTCGCAAAGCGTAATAGAGATCTTCAAAACCTTGAATCTTCTTTGACTGATCTTTCCATCAAATTGAACTCTTTGGAAGAAACCGTGGCTTTAGCAGAACCTAGATGCCTTGAGTTAAAAGCTAAGATAGACGAACTTGAAGCTACCTTAAAACTCAAAGAAGGGGAAATTATGGCGGCTCAAACATCAAATGAAGAAGTTCATGAAAAATTGGATGAGTTAAAGGATTTGAATGACAAGAAAACAGATGAGCTTGAACGCATGAAAGCCCATCTAGAAGCCATAGAGAATAATAAGGTACTGAATGTAGAACCAACTATTATTGACCCAGTAAGACAGGACCATTTAGCATCGCCTACGCCTAAACCAGCTGGTGAATTGGAATCTCTCAGGCATGAAAACGAGAATTTGTTGGCTCGAATTGCTAATATGGCATCCACTCTCAAAAGTAAAGTAGATGAACTGAAGACATTGCGGAATGAATCCGAAAAGCTTTCTCGTGACTCTCAAACGACAGAATTTGATCTTCGTAATCAATTAAAGGCCTTACAAGAAGCGATTGGGGAGAAAGAGGTTCAATGTTTCACATTGAATCAAGAGCTGCAAGAGACCAAAGCCAGAGAATCCGTTCTAATATCCCTATCTCCTGATGAAACAGTCGAGGATCAATTAAAGTCCCAGATTGCAAATCTTGAAGTTAACTTACGCATGAAGGAAGAGGAATTTAAGATCCTAGAAGGCGAGAACTCGAAACTTTCTAAGAATGCCAATGATTCTGCCTCAGAAGCTGAAGAACTTCGAAAGAAATTGAGAGAAATGGAAGGAACAAATGCTCAAAATGTTGCAGAAATCGAGAGGTTGATGAATGAATTGAATTCGAGTAAGTCAAGAGAGACGTTATTGCAATCAATGACATCTGTTATCGAACCAACTATAATTGAACCGGTAATGTCTGAGCTTCTAGCTTCTGCACCGCCTATGCCGGAATCCATCGATGAAATAGAGTCGTTGAGACAGGAAAACGATGCTCTCACATCTCTAAATACTGGCCTTGAAACCGGTTTGAGAGATAAAGAGTGTGAGATTGCGAATTTGAGTGAAGAAATCCGGTCACTTCAAAAGCGGCTCGAGCAGAAGACTGCTGATATCGATAACTTAAAGCAGAAAATTGGAATTGCTGAGGCCAGAGAGTCTCTTCTTATGTCTTTGGCTCCTGATGCTGAGGTTATTCAAGCTAGTGGGGCTGAATTGGAACGCAAAGTCGCGGAGCTTGAAGTAGCATTACAATCAAAGGATGCCAAAATAAAATCTTTGGAAATAGAAGTCTCGAAAATGTCGCAGAATGGAAACATATCTGCTTCTGAGGCTGAAGAGCCTAGAATAAATGTGAAAGTCCTGGGAGAAAGTAATGCTGAGAAAGTTGAAGAATGTGGGCGACTGTTTGAAGATATTTCAGCAGTTAGCAATAATGAATTTGAAGCTTTGAAAATGGAACTTAACGATGTGAAGGAAGCTTTGAATCGCAAAGTTTCTGATTACTTTGTTCTTTCCACTGAGACTCAGCGTCTCAAAGATGAGCTCGATGTTGTCAAAATTCGTGAAAAAGTTCTTCAGAACCTTGAATCAAGCATGAATGATCTTTCCTCTCGTTTTCTTGTTCAGTTGAAGGATTTAGAACTAAATGCTAATTTGGGTGAAAGGAGGATATCTGATCTTCTCTCGATGATTGAGGATTTGGTGTCAAAAGGCAATCATCTCCGTAATGAATTAGACAATAAAGAGCTTGAAATCGGAATATTGCATAAAGAAGCCTTAGAAAAACGCAATACTAACGAATCGGAGGTTCTTGCATTGCGTGATCAGATGAAAACTCTTCTTGAAGATCTGGATCAAAAAGTGGCTGAGTGTACCTCATTGACTCATGATCTGGAAACTGTTAAAGCTAGAGAATCTCTCTTACTGTCATTGGCTCCTGATGAAACTGTTATGCAAACACGAGAGACTGAACTGAAACTCCAAGCTGCTCAGCACCAAGTCAAATTGCTTGAGGATGAGATTAAAATCATAAAGGAGGATATGCGAGACAAGATTTCATCACTCTCACAGAGTATTGAGGCTTCTACTGCAGAGGCTGAAGAGCTGCGCCAGCAGTTGAAAGAAAAGGAAGATTTTAGTGCTCAGAAAATTAGAGAATGCGAGAAAGTGTGGGAGCAACTAGAAGCTGGGAAACTGAAAGAGCCTGTTATCCCTGCACCCGAACCAACTCCTGCTGAGCAGGTAAAATCGGTGCTCCTAACTCAATCTGCTCTTCAAACAGAAGCAGATATTCAAGCTCTTTCATCGCGTTTGACTGAATTGAAAGCTATCACTCAAGACAAGGATGGTGAATTCGAGGACCTTCAGGAAGAAATCGAAAAGAACCTGTTAACAAGGGACCTCCGTCAACAGTTAGAAAGCCTTCAAGAAGAATTCAGTAGGAAAGAAGGGGAATGTAATTCCTTAAAGCAAGAATTGGAATCTCTGAAAGTCACTACTATGCAATGCGAAGTTAGTAGTATTGAAGTGGTGACCTTGAGAAAAATGCTTGAAGAAAAAGAGCAGAGAATCCAGGAACTTGGTGAAGAGAAGATCAGTAAAACGGCGGAATGTAAAAGCCTTAGCATTGAAGTTGAGCGACTTAAAGAGGAAGTGGCTCTTGCTCAAGAAAATGAAATGAATCTCAACGAACTTGAGTCCAACATAACTGATCTCTCCGCACATCTAACTTCTCAATTGAATGCTTTAGTGGAAACTATTGACTATGGTGAGGTTCGTGTTCGTGATCTCATTTCACTGGTGAAATATCTTAAGACTAGGGAAAGAGAACTTATAAAGCAATTGCGTGAAGAGCGTCAGAAGCTTGGACAACTTTCTGCTGGTTTAGTTGATCTTGAAGTTATTAAGAATAAATTGAATGAGAAAGAATTCTATATTAAGGACAAAGAGGAAGAATTTAACAAATTGCAACAGGAATCCTCAGAGAATTTCCAGACGGAAATTCTAGAACTAAAACGACAACTGGAAACTTTGAAAGCCGCCTCTGAGCAGAAATCAACCGAATTCAACGCGTTAGTCCACCAACTTCAGGCTGCTGAGGCGAGGGAATCTCTTTTAATGTCCATAACTCCTGACGAAGCGAAAATTCAAGCAAGTGAAACAGAGCTTAGATCTAAAATTGCGGAACTGGAGGCCATGTTACGAGCAAAGGAAGACAAGATTAAGGACCTCGAAGATAGTACACAAGAAAAAATCTTGGAACAATTTCAGGTCGCCAATGAAAATGATGTTGAGGTTGAAGAACTGCAAGGTCAACTATTGGAAACAGAAGAACCTGTTACCGAACTCGCTGTAGTTAAACCGGTAATGTCTGAGCTTCTAGCTTCTGCACCGCCCATGCCGGAATCCACCGATGAAATAGAGTCGTTGAGACAGGAAAACAATGCTCTCACATCTCTTAATACTGTCCTTGAAACCAGTTTAAGAGATAAAGAGTGTGAGATTGCGAATTTGAGTGAAGAAATCCGGTCACTTCAAAAGCGGCTCGAGCAGAAGACTGCTGATATCGATAACTTAAAGCAGAAAATTGGAATTGCTGAGGCCAGAGAGTCTCTTCTTATGTCATTAAGCCCCTTATCTGTTGGACAAAAGGAGATATCTGAGTTTTCTGAAGAACAGCAAATTTCACGAATTGCTGAACTTGAATCTGCTTTAACATCAAAGGAGGGAGCGAGAGTACCACTTAAACGGAAGTTACTTTCTGTAACTCCTGAGAATTCTCATTTGTCGGAGTCTAACGACAACATCGTACCTCTGAATGATTCATTAACTTCAGAAAATTCCGATCTTTGTGTTCTTAAAGAAAGTCTTCAAGAAAATCCTGAAGTAAAATATCTTCGTAAGTGTCTTCGTTCAGCAGAATATGATAATTACAAGAATTGTGAAGATATTAAACAACTTGTGAATGAATTGGTCTTCCACGAGAAGGAATTGCAGAAAAGAGAAAAGGACATCAATGACTTCGAGGCTCAATTAATTGATGTTTCCTCTAGACTGTTCTCGAGGACAAACGACTTGTCTGCTATCGTTAATTCAGGTGAAAGGCGAATTTCTGATTTAATGTCCATTGTCGAGGAATTGACTGCCAGAGACTCGGATTTAAGGAATGAAATTACGAGGTTGGAGGCATTGGAAACCCGGCTGCGAAGTCAGTTAGATGAAGAATCAGTAAAATCGAGCAAACTTGCCATTGATATCGCTAAACTGAAAACAGAAAAAGATGAATTGAACAGGAAATGTAATATGATGATTGATGAAATGAAATGTCATTCTGATGAACAGAAAACGCTTGCAGATGCTCTCAAAGCACGAGAAGTTAAACAGAAATCCCTTGATGAGACCTTGAAAGCTAAGAATAGCGAGATGGAGCAACTGAAACAACGTCTACAAGCTCTTGAAAATATGAACTCTTCTCAGATAGAGGAAATTGAGAGTTTAAGCCAAGAACTAAATGAGGTGAAAGCTAAGGAACAGGTCTCGAAAATCATTGAACCAAGCATCATCCCTGCCACTTCCGCTGAACCTTTACTAACCGCCCTTCCAACCGATCTTCAAACTGAAAGAGGCGCTCAGTTAGCCCGATTGAATGAACTCGAGGAGATCAATAAGAAATTAGAAGAATCTTTAGAGTCCAAAGAAAACGATTGCAAATCACTAGAAAATACCCTAAAAATGAAGGAAAATGAGTTTGAAGACATGGCTAAGCTCTTAAAATGCAAGGAAAACGATCTAACATCCTTGGACGAAAGTATTCAGCAGATGTCCCTTGATATGGACTCTCTTAATAAGCACATCAAACACTTAGAAGAAGAGATTTCGAGCAAATCTGCTGAACTGGAGACAGCGACGAAGGTGAAAGAAGCTCTAGTGCAAAAACTGGAAGATGTTCAAACGACCTCAATTCCTGACAACCAATTATTAACTGAATTGAAACACAAGGGCTTCTGTCCAAAGAATCTTCCTTCTTTCTATGCTAACATTGTGGAAAAAGTCATCCTTCTAGCACATTTCGTTCAAGAGACTATCGAAACTGTAAATATTCCTACTACAGTCTCGTTCCTTGGGTTCCCCATTCTGGGTTGTTCAATAACCTTCTTGAATACCCATCTTTCTTCCATTCTGTCTGAACTGCAGCTTGCGATGAAAACAAAGGCGCCTGAAGTTCTGAGCAGTTCTAGAGAGAATCGAATTTCCCCCTTCGTGTCTATTTCACCTAAAATTGACTCTCCGATTTCGACAATCCACGAAAGCATTGATTCGTCATCCATTACTCAAGCACTTCTTTGTGTTGGGGCCTGTATTCATAACCAAATGGAAAGCCTTCTCCATCAAGCCTTTGGAAGCACAGCCACTGATGCGGAAGTCAACTCTCTAATGTCCAGTTGGTCAGGGTTCTTTATGAAATTGCAGAATCTCTGCCATTCGTCCCGAATTCAATTGCAGGAAACCCCTTCCACTGAGATGCCATGTCTCTGCCACCTGACGTCTGATGAAATTAACCGTCAACTGATGTCTGAGATTGTTCTACACCAGTCCACACCAATACCATCGACCCAATCCCTACGAGGTGACTATAGCTCATCATCGAGTGTATTGAATAAGTACTACAGTCAATCGGAACCTGATCTAGATTTTTCCTTCGATCGGAATGCTCGAAAACGGCAAGTTATTCGTTCACTGGATCGCTTCTCAACCGTCCTTCCACTGCACATGGGTAGGGGTAGAAAATCAGGCATGTATCCACTGGCTGCGTTCTCTAACCAACTTTCGAAGCTTCGATTAAGTTTGGTAAACGAAACTTGCTTTTCACCGGTGGTTGAACAGAAACCAGCCATGTCCTTCGAAGTTCCTTCAACGGAGCTTTACCTGCGCAGATTGCTTAATATCCGTGACACAGAGGTTCTGTATCTCTTGAGCACTCTTCCCTGTGGTACTAACCTTATTAATCGGTCATCTACGCCAAACATTATTCCTTCTGGTGATTGCATTGAGACCCAACTTCGATTGATGTCCAATTGGGATATGGTTCAGCCGTTAGATCCATCCTGTATTCCGCTCTATCGTGTTAAGTTGCCAGAACCCGGTGAAATCCCGCAAACTTCTACTAATGGGCACTTCGAAGCTCCAATAACTGAGACTGAAAGTTCTTCCATACCAGTATTAGAAGCCAACCAAAGCTCCCTTCTTAATTCTGATACTGCCGCTGAAGTTAGAATCCTACTTCGCAAGGGCTGGAGTATTTTGAAGGAAATGGTCCAAACATTCAAGCGCCCGAACAGATCGAAACCTCTTGGCACACAAGCTGATGAATTAGTAGCCACTAGCTTGAAACTCAGTAGACTTCTTAATGGAGAATCGGAGGAATTTGAAGTTCAGGCTGAAAATATTTCTGGTGGAGATTTTAAAAAGATTCCAGAATCTCCCGGTCTTCCTTACAAGTTCTCCAAGGCTCCTATTCAAGAATTAATATGGGCAATCGATAATTTAGAAGATATGGAAGAATTGCGTTCGTTGGCACATCTTTTAACACAACAATACAACGCAATTGGAACGACTGTAAGTAGCCACTTCTCAAACTTTTAATCATTTATATAGCCTTTTCTCTATGACATTTTTCTTGATACCATTGTAGTTGGAACAGCAGTTGAACTTGAATCGTGATTTGAGAGATAGACTTCGTGAAGCCAATAACCATTTAGCTCGAATCTACCTCGGAATTTCTCAGGGTAGCCATCGTTTGGCTGTGATGACAGAACGTCTACGTGTCGAAGCTGAAAAGCATGAAGAATTAAGCTGTTAGTTATATTTTACTCATTTTATGTCGCTAAATAAAGGTATTTGACGTGTTTTCTTCGGTTTAGCCGCCTTTGAAGAAATCCCATCGCCAAATCAAGAATCCGAACTCTCTAAAACTGACAATGGTCATGAAGACCAATCCCAAGAACCCCAAGCTTCTACATCCCGGAACTCAGATCGTAAGAAATCGTCCACCCTTCTACGACATCTGCGACATGCCATGAAGTCAAAGACGAAGAAGTAATACCCTTCCTTGAACAAAAGCGCCCATTACTTTAATTTGATCTACATAATTTCCCATATGTACCATAAGTCCCGTGTTTTCTTTACTCTTATTTGTTGTCCTCACTTTTAATTTCTGTAATTAAAACTTTACTTAACATGGATAAGCTGCTTAATTTTTGCTCTCTCTATTGCATAGGTTGGATTTCAAGCTAATCAGTTATAGAGGCTTGAAATCTCTTAATTTCTTTCTTATTTGGCTGCCTGTCTTGAGCTTTGTTCTTCCACGCACTTGTCCGCTAACGTGTGACAAGACAAAATGTAGCAATGCTATTGGTTGGGGAACTTTTATTGGTGGTTGGTCAAGACCTTACTTGGCCCACGTGTTTCTATTTTGCCCAACATGTATAATTAGACTGGGAAAAGGGAGAACTTTTCCGTTGTTATTTTGCCTCCTTTCTTAGGTGCATGATTCTATCGATTGTTCAAGGTGAATTTATATACAAATTTGAAGAAATCGTACACGTATTACATATTGTGGAGCTTAAGAAATTATATTTATTTCTTTAGGGGTTTCCATTGTAGGGCTCAACTCAAACTTAGCAAAGTGTATTCGTACTTTCTTAGATTTTTGGCTATGAGTTTGTTACTTGCTGACTTCCTTTAGAGTTGAAATTGCTTTCACTCAACTAAGCTAAAACATAAACGTCAGATAAAATGGTCGTAGAACTAATTTTGCGCCTGTTTTATAAAATTAGGAATAAAACTTGCAGCTGGAGGCCATTTGGGTTCTTAGTACAATGGGTTCTACAATAAATTTGCATTGATTTCCTTTATATGCTAATTCGTCCTGAACTGACAACATTGTACCTCACTGTTCTTACCGAAATTCCCGTGGTATTGAGTTTCACTCAACAAACCGGCCACACCGAAATCACCTTGACGACTTATTTTAATGTGTAGTTCTTGTGCTTCCCTTCTGACTCCGAGAGACCAAAATAACCTACAACTTCTTAGGAGGGTTTTAAGTTTACTGTTATCGTATAGTGACGCTAGACTGCCCCGTCTTTCACGGTATTGCGTACCTAGTTGTCAAAACACAAAGAACACAAAATCAGCCTAATTTGATTTGGCTTCTAATTTACCTTTATTATCATCAGGATTTGAGCTGCTCAAGTGCCTATATTTATTTAATTTAAATAGATTTTAGCAACTGCAATGTTGATTGTTATTCCTTCAGCTCCCCAACGCCACCCATAATTGACCATTTGAATCCCATTGTTAACATCATTCGCTTTTTAATTTCACCACGTTGTGACTTCAAACAATGGTGAATTTTAATATTTTAGCTGGTTTAAATAAGTATAATAAATTTGTGGTTGGCCTATCAGGTCATGTAGTTTACACTTGTGGGGTCACCAAATTCTGCCGTGCACCCACAGACATGTGTGCCTGATCGTTGCGTTAAAACCCACTGCACAGTCAAAAAAAAAATACACGTTTTAACCATGGGAAAGCATCCGAACACTGAGGACTATGGGGTCAAAATGGCAAGGAGTGGAGAAAAATTGATGATATTGTAGACCTCCATGTGGGAACTCCAATTAGTTCTGTTGTATTTTTAATAGTATCTCTATGGAATCAAGTGGTCAATGATCTCTGAATATCCAGAGCGTACACTCTTCAAGGCTGGATATTAATAATTGATCTAATTCACCTTACAGTACCCTCTTTATCCAGAGCTCACTAATTTAAAATGGACCCCCCCCCCCCACCGCGTTTCTAGTTGATCTCATGTCCACAATAATCATAGTCTTTTGTATTGTTAATTTAATTTAGGGTATTTTTTGCAGCCGAGGACTGGCAGATGAAAATGAGTTACTTTATAGCGTGACACAGATACACGCATTTTTCCCTATTCCTGAGTTTTTTGTGAATTGGTGAATTTGGTAGAAAATATTTGAAACTGACCCAAAATCGGACGTGTATAATACAAATCAGATCCATGCTGTATTACATTTTGTGATGCGTGATCACTGAGGTGATAACACCACAGGTGAATTGTAAACAAAGACGTCTGTGTAATGTATAGATGGGCTGATTTTATTATCGCCTATCAGTTAGTTATAATAGAACAAATTCGATTGGCTAAAACTTGCAATTCTATGGGTCAATTGCAACTCCCGAAATAGACCGTAATCTAGAAAAGTCTGAAATGGGAACTGGATATTTATTTTAATATAGCAAGAAAGGTGATAAGATGCAACATTTTGTCACTGTTTCGTCGGATTACAAAATCCAAATTCATTTTAACAAAAGGTTAAACAAAAAACTATTAATCATCCTTTCTTCCTCAAGGACCCAATTGTAGTATACTAATTCATAGAAGTACTGTGGATGCGTAAACATGTATTTACTAGCCCAACAGTATACAAAAGCATTTAATCGACCAAAGTCTACTCCAGAACCTCTTAAATACCACTCAGAAAGACCACATATATAACATTGAGATATTGTGCAGAGAGCCAAAATGACTACCCAATAGTGAATGCACTAACAAGGTCACACCCGAAATCTCACCCCCCAAAAAAGGCAGGAAAGTTGTCGTTGGGCTATTAAGTTTTTCATATCAAAACTATTTTATGATAACTGAACAGATAACATGGAAGCAGGATATTGAGATTTTTACTGATAATCATGAGCGTATTTATTGAATTGAGAGTGAAAAAAATACGCAGCGATACTTAAAGAGTATTCTGCCATGTGCTTACTACCCGCCTTTGAATTGAGACCGAATAAATTATTTTTATTCATTTCAAATGGCAGGCGTTATGATAGGTAACATTAGCCCTTTAGTTGACTTCGGGCTTCACAGAGGGGAGGTTCACCAAAGTAGAATAAAGGCGATGGGTGGGGAACAGAATTACATCAAAGTGAAAAAAAGTCGAGACTGGGGGGCGGGACAGGAAGAACATCCAACTGGCAAAAAGTCGAGAGGGGGACAGAATAATGATTCACAGAAAAAAAGTCGAGAGGGGGACAGAATAATGATTCACAGACGTTAAAAGTCGAGAGGGGGACAGAATAATGATTCACAGACGTACCGAGAGGGGGACAGAATAATGATTCACAGACGTAAAAGAGCAAGATGGGGGACAGAATAATGATTCACAGACGTAAAAGAGAAGGGGAGGGGGGACAGAATAATGATTCACAGACGTAAAAGAGACAGAGCAGACACAAAGGTAGAAAAAAGGTGAGTTGAATACTGTGGAAGGGTTGGGATCAGAAGAGCGATTCACAGATGTAAAAGAGGCAGACGGACACGAAGGTAGAAATTAGGTGAGGTGAGTACTGCGGAATTAGCCGAATATGAAATGGAAGTAGAAAAAAGGTGAGGTGAGTACAGTGAATTTGTCGAATATGAAATGCAGTGGGGCCTTGGTAGTTTGATGTCAGAAGTCAACTGCCGATTAATAGATTTTTTGCCGTAT